GGAATTCTGGGAGTTGGTTGAGACCCACAAATGCTGACTGGGGAATTCTGGGAGTTGGTTGAGACCCACAAATGCTGACTGGGGAATTCTGGGAGTTAGTTGAGACCCACAAGTGCTGGATGGGGAATTCTCGGAGTTACTTGAGACCCACAAGTGCTGGATGGGGAATTCTGGGAGTTAGTTGAGACCCACAAGTGCTGGATGGGGAATTCTCGGAGTTACTTGCGACCCACAAGTGCTGGATGGGGAATTCTGGGAGTTAGTTGCGACCCACAAGTGCTGGATGGGGAATTCTGGGAGATGAAGTCCACCCGTCTTAAAGTGGAGGAGGCTGGGAGGCACTGTCCATGGAAAGCAGCCTGCCTCTTGACTCTCGCAGGATGGAGTAGGGGCCTTGTAGTCCTTCCTCTGGAGGTGGCCTTAGTAGTCCCAACGTCACCACGGAGGGCCAGAGAAAGGCTACCGGCCATTCTCGGACTCTTCCACCCCGTTGGTCAACACCAATGTGGCTCCTTTAAGACTCGTGGACTTCAATTCCCAGAATTCCCCAGCTGGCAAGGTTTTTACCCAGAATTCAGCTGTGCATAGGACTTTCTTAATAGATGGTGGGAATGAAGCACAGGTACTATATCTTGGCTTGACAGCAAAGTAGAAGGAAATGGCCTGGGGAATTCTGGGAGTTGAAGTCCACAGGCCTTAAAGGTGACCGTTTCAACAGCCCCCCCCCCTCCTGGTCTAATAGGCCTATCGTGAACCCCGTGAAAGAGGAACCCTTCCGCGGGATTAGCAAGGAACTCTGTCCATGCTCTTGTGCAATATGCACTCAGGAGGTATCTTGACCCCAAGACAACCAGGGACGACATGTGGAAGTGACGGGTGGGTATTTGGCAGGCAGTCTCTCCTGAGGGGAGGGGACCGGTTTGTGCCACAGAAAAAAGGGGGGCCACCCAGAGGGCATCTTTCCATCCCAAAGCTTAATTTACAGCAGAGCGAGAGTGATGCCTGCCCTCCCGATCTTCTTTTCGTTGCTTTTCTCTTAAAAATGCAAGCGGACCGAAGAAACCGTTTGGCCGAGACCCCGAGACCCTCCGGCAAGGCCTCGTGGCCCTAAAGTGCTAGTCAAATCCGGCAATCTTTGCCGCCGTCCCTGGTTCCACTCCTTGTGGTCTCCTTTCCCTCTCCGCCGTTCCTTTCCCTGCTCTTCCACACACCGCCCTCCCTCCCCCCCTCTTCATTCGTGGCCGTCTTGACCCAGCTCCTCCAGCTCCGTGTAAGGCTTGAACTCGTGTTCCAACAACGACCGGTTGCGTCGGAATGCGGTGGCGATGTCGTCGAAGGTGCGCCCCCGAGTCTCGGGCACCTTGAGGTAGGTGAAGGCGGAGAAGATGAAGAGGAGGATGGCGAAGATGAGGAAGACGTAAGCACCGATCGCCTCCTGCAAGGGATGACGGAATAACAGAGGTGGAGGGGATCTTGGAGGTCTTCTAGTCCAACCCCCCCTGCCAACGATCATAGAAATATAGGGCTAGAAGGGACCTTGGAGGTCTTCTAGTCCAACCCCGCTGCCCAAGATCATAGAAACATAGGGCTAGAAGGGACCTTGGAGGTCTTCTAGTCCAACCCCACTGCCCAAGATCATAGAAACATAGAGGTAGAAGGGACCTTGGAAGTCTTCTAGTCCAACCCCCCCCAGATCATAGAAACATAGGGCTGGAAGGGACCTTGGAGGTCTTTTAGTCCAACCCCCCCCCCCAGATCATAGAAACATAAGGCTAGAAGGGACCTTGGAGGTCTTCTAGTCCAGCCCCTTGGTCAAGACCATAAAAATATAGGGCTGGAAGGGACCTTGGAGGTCTTCTAATCCAATTCCCCCTCCCCACCCAAGATCATAAAAACATAGGGCTGGAATAGACCTTGGAGGTCTTCTAGTCCAGCCCCTTCCCCCCAGATCATAGAAACATAGGGCTGGAAGGGACCTTGGAGGTCTTCTAGTCCAACCCCGCTGCCCAAGATCATAGAAACATAGGGCTAGAAGGGACCTTGGATGTTTTCTAGTCCAACCCCGCTGCCCAAGATCATAGAAACATAGGGCTAGAAGGGACCTTGGATGTTTTCTAGTCCAACCCCGCTGCCCAAGAT